ATGCTTTATTTTTTACATTGAGATTTGATGTGTTTTCAAAGTGGTTATTTAATGTTTTAAGCAGTGTGGAATCAGCTGATTCCCAGGTCAGGTGCAAAGCACTTATTGATTTCACTGAACAAAACATGTATATCTGAAAGAAAATGACAGATTTAACTACTGGTAGCCGAGCTAGGATCCAGAGGCTTTCACCGTTAATTTTAACTGATGTCAGTTGTGAGATTCGACTCGATTTGAGCACTGTTCGTCTTCTTTATCCTGACCCCACGATTATTAAATGTGCTCAGACCGTGCACACAGTGTGTTTTGGTTTCTGGACCCAACAATCTGATCAATATGGGTGGCCCAGTTCCTGTCAAGAGTCAATTACATGTGAGTGTGTTTGTATGCATGTGTGTGCATATTTGTTGACAGTAATGGTTTTTCCATCAAGGCTGTTTTCCACTGATTCACTGTGTATGAAACACACATCACAGAATGACAATTTCGAAGAATGGATTTCATTCTCTGCATTTTGTGTCATTTTGTGTGTGTGTGTGTGTGTGTGTGTTATCATTTAGTGCAGCTACAGGTTTGCAGGATTTTGAAGATGACCTCTATGTCCAGTTGATGGAGGAATCTAACCAGTATATTGATTCAAACTGAATTCAAACAGCCAGAGCAATGACAGGAGAAAAGTCCCACAGCAAGTAATATGGCTGCATCCCACAGCTAGCAGTTCAATATTCAGGCCACAGAGTAATCACTTTGCCGCACTTGTCTGGAATTATACCGCGTTTATCTGCTAGTGCCATCCCTCCACATTTCTTCAGATTAACTCTCTGTTAAAAAAAAAAAAAAGAAAGGTCACACCACGGAGCAGGAAATGTGAGTGTACATTAGCACAATCCCCCTGATGATATATGCTCCTCTTAGCTCTCCATTTAGCTCCAGCTTTTGTCTCCTCCAAAGCTCCTTTGGGACAACAGGCCTTGCTCCAGGCTGAACAACTGTCGGCCTGTGCAGATTTTTCATCACTTTGTATGTGTAAAGGAAAAACACAAGCCAACTTCATATGAAAACAAAAAAAATCAGGTGCTTGTGCTGTAATATCCTCACCATGTTACCAGAAAAACAAAACTTATGACATTCCCTTTCTTTCAGCAGTTTATACTTGTTGTGCTATAGAGGAAAATGCCATTAAATGTAATTAATTTTTCATCTTATTGTTACTTTTTGTCACCCCAATTTTCTCGTTTTTGCCTTTGTTTTTTATATACCACCTTTAGCATGATTCATCCTATTTCCCATGGAGCTTGTGCTCTGCTGAGGCAAAGCTCAAATCCTGCAATCACAGAATTGTTGATCATGGTTTCCAGGATTTATTATAAGACACGAGCATGTGCACTTATCTTGGATGATTGAATCCATCTCGACTTACTTAGTTCTCCCGAGTCATTCATACATCAATCCATTTTCATAGTTGCTTTTCTATTTCAGGATTGCAGAGGGGCTGGGACCTATTCCACTCAATGGGTGTCCAGCCTCGGCCAATCTTGATGCAAGAACAACAGCCTTTTTTTCCCCTTGACTTTACCACTTTACCATTTACATTATTTTATTTTATTTTATTTTTTACATGTTTCTTTGATATAATGAAGAACGATAGCAAGGATCTCGTATGTTGCAAACACTTTTATAGGAAAATAAATAAGAATTTAGTAGCCAATGACTGCTAAACACTGACACTCTGCCTAATATCGCATAGAAGTAAAGGCAGAGCATCTGAACAAGAGCACACTTCTGAAGCTGAGGGTGGAGAATTAGTGGATTCAAATATGAAGATGAGGCAAAAAACTGCAAAACAACTGGACATACTGGCCAAGGTCTATGGCTCAAATGTACCTGTGGAAACAAATATTCAAAGAATCTTCTCCGAGAGTTTTAGTCTATACATTTCTCACAAAAACTTAAGAAAACTCTCCCAGTAACTCTACTGTGGACGGGCCTTTAGGCTTATTACGTTGTTTGGTAAGTTAAGTAAAAAAATGTGTGACTGGTTGTTAATAAAAACGTGTTGCAGACTGGATGTGAATTTGCACAGACGTCCATGCACATGCTGATAATTCATTTTACCTTTTTGCTGTATTCAGTTATTAACCATCTGACAAACAGAGAAAACCACTCAGCTTTTTTCTCCAGCAAGGCTGCAACGTCTGTGAATTCTCTTTTGTAAATTTATAACGTGTAAAATGAAATGACCTGCTTCACAAAATCAGAATTTTGCAGGCTGTAAAAGACAAAGTCGTCGCTCCCGCGCTGTTGTATTTTTCCAGTTGTTAAATATCATTGAAGTCATTACTTAAATTTTTGCTGCCATGGTGTTATTATGCTCCGTAGGAGATAGGTGCACCTGTCTAAGACATCCTGCTTGATGGAAACATGCTAAAAGTGGCGCATGTGCATGTGATCAGTGAGCAGCTTCATTTAAACAAAGATGAAGAAACTTGCTTGCACTGAATGACAGTAAGCTAAACACTGATGGTTAGCGCTTGCAGGGACGGTAGCATCACCCTTTAATGTTTTTATGTACAATGGTGTTGTATAAAACTGGTATAACTTTAGACCAGCTGTTCTGTTGTTGCTCGGTTTTTTGTTTTGTTTTTTTATTTGTTTGTCATCTGTCTGTTTGTCTGAACGGAGTAGATGATAGGAAGCGGCTTTGTTTGCCTGTCTTCAGCTAAGTCAGAGGTAAGACTCTTTCCTGTGTGTAGGCGTGTTTATATGTGGTTGTATTTTAAATGTGTATGTGTGTGTTAATCCAAACATTTTCATCTGGATGTTACTGTTTTTTTGTAGAGTTAGTTATTCATAAACAGCTCCTGACTTCACAGTAAGCCTTAAATCCACCTCTGTGCTCCCATTTTAAGCATCAAGTAGTGCTGATTAAAAGACACAACTGAGAAAACTGAGGCTGCTTGTCTAATGTAACACTTGATATTCTGATTCTCTCAGAGCTGTGATCACAGTTTAAATCTCTCATGTGTCCAGAATAGAACTGCAGTCTAAAGAAGTTTTGAACGCTATAGTTTTATATAGATTTCAACAGCTCAACTCAGATTCAGACCTGCACCGAAAAGGAAAATACCAGCGGCATTATAAGAAGCTCTAAAAACATTGAAAAAACCAAATAAGCAAATTTTCTTAGCTTTGCTGTTTGTTTTTTTTAATCAAACTGGTGATGCTGCATCTTCATGTAATACAGACTGCTGGAATTGACTTAGAAAGATGTTTAGCCACTGCTTCAAATAGCTTCCCAAATAAACACGATTCATTTCTCCCAAAAGTGTTATTTCAATCCCAATTTAAGTGCCCGAAAATATTTTAAAACACTTTCTTGCTTTTAGGATCCATCTACAATGATAAACATGACTGGAGAGTTCTGTGTTAGTTTGGGAACCATGGTGTTTTTGTGTATTTGTGCAGGACTCAGAGGGTGTGGCCATTATGCTGGGTGTGTGCAATAGTGGTCTGCTGGTCTACAGAGATAGACTGAGGATCAACAGGTTCTCGTGGCCAAAGATCCTGAAGATTTCGTACAAAAGAAACAACTTCTACATCAAGATCCGACCAGGAGAGGTAAGAACACACACTGATGACTGGCCACAAGGTGGCTTTATTTCACTCACTGTTAAACAGTATTATGATACATCTATGTTGATATATCTATGTTACACTGACCCTTATGCTGTCCTTCAGCAGCGTAATGTGTCTGTAATGTTACTTAGTCCCTGCAAAATGCTCAAGCATAGTTTGACAACTGAATGATGGGCCATTTCATATCCAGGTGTCGACTGTTTCCTCATTATTTTTACAACAGTTTTCTAAAATAAATGGTCTTGAGTTGATAGCATTTGGTTACGTCTCATAATTAGCAAAAAACATAAACATAATAATTTGAGTGTTTTGAAAGGCGCTTTCAAATAAAACTTATTATTGTTATTGTTATTGTTATTATTAATAATAATAATTAGCACAAAACATAATTTTCAAAGATTGAAAAAATTCAGGGAGTGGCAAAATAAACATGCTGTGTATTCCTGCTTAAAAAGAATTATGTCATTCGTAAACTTCTCTAGTGCTGTTTCTGTATTACAGTCGACTCTAAATCCTGAGTGAAACTGTTTGCACAGTGCGCAAAGTGGGAGTCACTTTTAACCTGGTAACAAATAAACAAGTGTGGCTGAGCTGCTCATCCTATTGCTAAGCACAGACACACTTCAAAGAAAACTTGTTTACATTGCTCGTATCAGCAGCATGCATTTTTAATTTCTCTTTGATATTTGGGCATATTGGGGCCCGATGAATGTAAAAACAAAGAATCACCAGATTTTCTTTTTTTTTTTACCTTATTTTTATTTTTAAGAAAAATAAGAGCCACATATGAGGATATTCGTTTAATATTTTGATAGAACAGTAGCAGTATAATGTCCTCGTAAAAGGTTTTCAGGCCCTTGTAGAGCAAAATTGAGTATTTTGGTCTAAATAACCCAAAATGTGATGTTCACATATGTGGACGCCAGGTCACACACCACAACAGCAGATTAGCGTGTTCACATTACTGCAGATCCTTCTGTCGGTCAATACCGCCCTCCACTCTTCCCACCTCACAAAAAAAGAGCTGAAAATGATAAAACTCTTCCACTCACTCCAAACCCAGAGTGGGCGTGGAACCGTTTTCTATCTGAGGACCAGGGCCTTAATCTTGGATGTTTCTCACCAGTGTGGTTTATATTCAGATACACACCACTTCACTGCTAACTGAAGTTCATCATATGATGACAAGACCACAGACCATGGTTAAGACCATCCCCTGCTGCTTGGCTGGACACAGAAATTCTTTCCATAAAGATTACAAAGAGAATCTTTGACAAAGAGCAGCTCTGGCAGAGTCCATCAGCCACCGCTGAACTCCCGTGCACACTTAAGGTCAAGAGCTGGTCCAAACCCATTGCTTTTAATCACTACAACTGATGGATGGACGGACACTCCTCTCTGAGACCCTGGCACAGATTATTCCAGGGAGACATTCTCTGGGCCTCTTTCCAGAAAAGAGGAACCCCGCCTCCAGTCTCCCCGTCCAGAGTTACTGCTCCAGACCTGCAAGAATGTTGTAGAGGCTTGTAAACCAGAAACACCCCACCTTATTCAGACATCACATTCAAAATGTGTCTGAATTCAGTTTCGTGATATTGGTATAGGATGTGCGAGAGTGACACCTACTGATGGGTTTATTTTAAAGCTAAGATGTTGATAAATAATCTGTCTCTCTCCCCGTCTTCAGTTCGAGCAGTTTGAGTCCACCATTGGTTTTAAGCTGTTCAACCATAGAGCTGCTAAGAGACTCTGGAAGGTGTGTGTGGAACATCACTCCTTTTTCAGGTCAGTCGAGATCATGTCACAACGTGTGGTTTGTTTCAGAAATCATGTGATCAGTTTTGTGACAGCCATCTGCCCTCCACCCTGTCTGTATGCTTGTTTTTCAAATTCTCCTCATCTCATCTCCCCTTGCTCATCTCCATCTTATTCTCTTCCCTGTGTGTCTCTCCTCTCTCAGGCTATTATCACCAGAAGAAACTCCTAAGAAGTTCCTGACTCTGGGTTCAAAGTTTCGTTACAGCGGTCGGACTCAGATTCAGAGTCGCAGAGCCAGTGCTCAGATATCCAGACCAGCACCGCATTTCCCACGATGTATCAGCAAGAGGAGCATGTTGAGCCGCAGTTTAGATGGAGGTACTCGTGAATTCTGCATCAGTTATGTTTCCCAGAGTGCTAACAGCGTTAATATGGGTTATTAGTATTGCGCATTGTAAACAGTTTGCAATGAGAGAACTGGTCACTATAGCTGTAGTTGTATCATACTGGTCCAAGTAGTAATACTAGTGGCAATAGTGCATCCAACTGTACCAAGTTTGGAAGTCAAATTTTTCCTTGTATTTACTGGAATATTCCGAGTACTAGACCTGTACTACAAAGGAGAAATTTGAACTATGAGCTTGTTTTTCTTTCCAAGGCCAACTAGGTCAGTCCATATTTTTAATGTTGCACCAACATTGTCCATTTATATGAATATGGTACTCACTGTTTTATAAGTATTAATTGTAATCTTGGTTACTGGATTTTTGTGAAGCCACATAACAAAAACATATGGATA